CAACGACCTTCCAAGCGCCAGCATAGCGGATATGCAGCCGTGCTGTATTGTCTCGATCACGAACTCAAACCACTACACGGACGAGCTGCCATCCATCGTGGGAGCGTCTGCCCAAGCACCACAAAGGCGCCACAGACCAAAAAGATTAACCACTCTGCCCACGACAAACTGAAGTAACAACATGCACGTCACGCGCTCAAACCTGCCCGCCTCTCAAACGCATCGACCACTTAACCCTCATGACTGAAGTAACAACATGCACGTCACGCGCTCAAACCTGCCCGCCTCTCAAACGCATCGACCACTTAACCCTCATGGCTCACCACAGCTCACACAACCTCGTACTCCATCACTTCATACCTAGACCATCGATAAAACACTCACGCAAAGTCTCCACAACACTCCTGCAGAAACATCACTGTTGTTAAGACCTCACATAAGCACATCGCCAAAAACGATCACCACAACGCCCTACTCATCTTCACGTTCTCCTTACCCAAGCGTTAGACAGACCAAACTGCGAGCTACCGTGGTTTGCATGTGCTCCCGGAAAATATCCCCGCAACAAACAAACGTGCATTAGCGCTAGTAAATACACACATACACAAACACACACTAAGTGACTAAGGAAACATTTTCGCGACGAACAAAACAACAAACGCCGGCCCCGCTCTCGTTCGCGCAACGTCAAACACTCATGCACTACACATGCGTCGCCGCTCTAACGCTCTCGCATAGTACGCTATGCATACGTCCTGCAACGTAAAAGCAACGACTATCCAAGCGCTAGCATAGCGGATATGTAGCCGTGCTGTATTGTCACGATCACGAACTAAAAGCACTACACGGACGAGCTGCGATCCATCATGGGCGCGTCTGCCTAAGCACGGCAAAGGCGCCACAGACTAAAAAGACTAACCACTCTGCCCAGGCTAAAAGTTAGAATATGCACGCCTCGTTCTGCAACCTGCCCGCCTCTCAAACGCATTTCCTTCGAGACCTGTACTCTAATCGCAGCTCACTAAAACTCAATACATCGCTACATGGCCAAAAAGGCGTCAGCGCATGCCCCTCTTAGCAAGGATTTCTGGAGCTGTCAAAGCCCTCACGCAACGTACACAAGACACTGCGCTGCATTGTGTAGCCACAGACTGACGGGCACTCAGCCATGTGTCACTAGCGTGGCAAAGGATTAGAGCCTCAAATAACGACGCGACGCGATTAGTTCTTTGCACATGTAAAATCGGTAGAGCAAAATTAACCAGTCATCTCCACCTGCAGTGTTGTTTACTTGATACGAAATGACCCCGTGCCAGCACGCTCTGCTGTTCCGCGTCTCGTCTGCTGAAAGTATTGTCCAGCTTTTGGAAGGCAGGTGCACGGGCGAATTGACGCAGCTACGCGATGCAATCGAACGAAGGATGACTAAAAGCACACACATCAGGATGCTGCTCTTAGTCATGGTGTACACAGGTTCCGTTGCATCGCGTTAACACAGAAAAAAAGCGACAAAGCATTGTTCGCATTTCGTCTGGTGAGAATTTGCGCACAAAGCACCAAAGCAGTGCTCGACCGTCGCCGCGCTCTCAACCCAGCACTGATGCTCTACTCGCAGCCCACCAAACATCACCCTCCATAGGCGTTCAATAACGCTTGAGCGCAAAATGCCCACAGCGCCAGTGCAAATGCACCAAAGCGACTCTCAGGCAGTCGAAGAGAGCAGCCTATTTGCCCGTGGCGGTACAGACGGTCTCGGCACGACAAACATACGAACGCGCACGCATCGCGCTACCTTCGTGCTGCCAACGCCCACAGCTCTCATCACCCTTACAAGCAAGCGCTAGCACTCAACAAGGCGTTCCTTCATTTGCTCCATCCACGGTAACGCATGAACATGACTGCCATGCAGAAACCCGCCACTCGATCATGCAGAGCTGCTGAAGGAATGCGGCACGCATGTACATCATATTCATTTGCTCCATCAACGGTAGCCCGTGAACATGACTGCTATGCAGAAACCTGCCACCAGAGCATGCAGGGCTGTTGGGGGAATGCGGCGCGTATGTTTACCATGTTCGTGACGGTCGGAAGTACATTTTTGAGCACTACATAAAGCTGAAGCTTGCACATCCACTCTTGAACAACAGCCGCACGCCTAGGGTACGGCCGTGCTGAGCAGTACATTTTCATAGACCGCACATCTTTTGCTGCGACGCTGACGCTCTGTATAGCCTGGCCGTTGTACACGCCAATAAAGTTCGGGCTTTACTTAAGCTTTTCCGCGATCTCCACTGGCGAACTCGAGCTCCCCAATGCACGCAACAGAATGCCAGATACATTCGAAGGGACAGAAGCCCGCCAACACACGAACCTCGGTGAAATCTTTAGGGCTCGAAGCCTGGCATATATGTGCATAGCAAAGGCGCAAGCCCATGAGGAGCGCTCACTTATGAGCGCAAGTTGTACCTATCCACAGCACGACAAGCATCCTTCGTCCCAGCAGCTGCACGAACGTCACCGTCACGCCACACTATGACCACAACCCCCCTGAGTCATTGACGCCCGCTCTCACCTCAAACGCAGGCAAAAAGCCCTCCAACAAGGGGACTAGCATTTGCTCACTCTTCCGCACTTCTGTTTATGCTGTATATTGTATGTGGGTGCAACACGCCCCCAAGCGAGCTAATCATTTGGCAGAGCATGTGCACGAGACACATATGCAAGCAAAAGCTCTCATCGAACCCATCAGCGCAGCGTGCGAAGCGGCTTTGCGCTTCGAAGGGAGATGCTGTGCACCGTCAGCACCATGCATGCCTGTACATGGTCACCGGTACACAAATCTCACCAGCACTGCGGGCGCATTGCGACTGCAAGCAAGATTGTCCACAAAGAGGATACACGAAAGACACTGGCGCGATTCCATGTGTCACACGCAAAGCGGTCGAAGCGCACGATAAGGCAACGAGTGTCAGTCTTGGGCGGAATCCTCGCTTAATAGAAAAGCTGATCGGCCAAGAGCTCCATCCAAAAAGGAGACGCAAAACGCACTGGCGCGATTCCATTTGCTACACGCGCAGCTCTTAACGCACGGCATGAGGTCACAAACCTCAGTCTCCTATGATACCTTTTACAAAAAAAATTGATACAATAATCACAGCCTCCACTAACCGCATGTCGCCGTAGCACGAATCCACGGGATCCGACAGGATACGTCCGAGCCTAGGGAAGCATTCCGAGTGCAGCTAATCAACTTCCCGCTTAGGTCACACTAAAAATCAGCGGCCATCTGATACTAGTAACTATTGATGACCTAGCGCGTCGCGCCAGCGCGTCGTGCCAAAACGCCCTCACGTCACTTAGAAGACTGAAGCTTACGAGGCGAAGACTTTGCTCGCCTTCTGCCATATTGCGTTTGTGTTGTCGGGGCGGTCCGTTACGCTTGCGGCCCTTGATTGAGGTGTAGCAACGAACGCCAAAAAACCCAACGATCGTCGCGATCAGTAGGGCGGGGCTTGAGACTGCAAGCAGCATTCCAGGCCAGCGTCTCGATATGGCCGAAACATCTTGGTGATCAGCACGAGATGTTCCTCCTAAAGGGGTTGCGGTGTCTGCTCCAAGGAGGATGTGGGCCGTGAAGACAATTAAGATTAGGGAGTGTAGAGTGTGCATTTTTGACGCAATAATTATGGGGTTGAGACGATTTTGTGTTATCCTTGAGTTTTTTAATGCTGTCAGAGCATAACAATTGCTTGCGTCCGCCCTGTTTGCTTTCTGTGGCGAGCAACGGGCCGCCAGCACACACCGGTTGGAAACTGTTTGGAAAGGTCTATTAGAGCCAATGTCAAGCTCTCAAAGTACATACACACCAGCTAAAAAAATTTGCGGAACGTTTCAGCTGTAACGTGAACAGTCTGGAGTTGTTTACAGCAGTCACACACATGCACTACCCTGGAGTGCTCTGCCCTATGCTCCAGGACTGCTGATGGTAGTGCGCACAGGACCACACAGGAACTAGAGCAACTGGAAGATATCTTTGTTAAAAGAACAGTGAATATTTTGGTGTTCATTTTGGTATTCATTTACATGGACGTGAGACGGGCACAACACAATGTGGCAGCAGTTTAGGAGGCGCGCCCCTGGAACAGTAGCCCTGTAGCGAGCGGAGGAAAAGCTTCACCAAGTCACAACTGATTTGGACGGAAATTTTTTTTCTGTCAGGCAGAGGTACATACCTGGTTGTTCGTGTGTTGTTTCAATGGAAACAGATCTGCAGCACGCGAAGGCACCTGGCAATGGCTCGTAATTTTTGAAACATTACCAAAGAATGAGCTAGCCGCTGCCAGGGTGGCAGGCGTTTCTTTTTCAAGGCGCTGCACGCGAGTAGATATTCTCCGACAAACATAGGAGAACATGGAATTTCAACACTGGGTCAATGCTGATTTGAAAATAGTTTTAGTTATTGCTTACACGTTCGGGCTTTTGCGGCGGCCGAGCCAAACACATCCCCCTGAAGTAGGGTTGATGTTTCCCTGATATGCCAGAATTAGTTCAGCAGCAAGCAGATGGCTGAGACTCACGAAAGCCGCAGTTGGAATCTTGAGGTGCAGCGGTAGCCCAGCGCGATGGATTTGGTAGACAAAGTGTGACAAGAGCTGAAGGAGTCAGGCGCCAGCTGGAGTACAGCACCGCCAGACTGCAGACTGCAGCCGTTCTCTGTCTCATTCCTCCCAAAAACCTGCAGATGAGCTTATTTCACACAGAGAAAGTGCTGGAGCCACAGAGGAGGGCTTGGCTGCACAGCTGCCATGGGGAAAACAGCCAACAGTCTTGAGAGCTGAAAGTCTGCGTCCTGCACAGTGAAGCGGCAGGCAAATGTGCAGAAGGGACGGTGCAGCACCAGCCGCAGGTACAGCGCTCTTGAGGCGCTGAAGGGGGTCTTTATGGACGCCTGAGAGCTCAGCCCTTGTTACAAAAGAGCCTTTGCTTTGCTGCTGGATCCGATGCTGCTGTGTCTTTCGGAGCCCGTTGAAAAGGCACGGCTCCTCTCAGCCAGTATTCTCTTTAAGTTTTTCTGCGAAGCACCAGCAGTGGACGAAGCCCTGGGAGAAGTGCTGCGGGCGCTGACTGCCCGCTTTGGCTCCGAAGACATTGAAAGAGTGGCTCACCTGCCCCCAGTGATGCGCCCAGACCCTGAGTACAAGCCCCTGCAGCTGACGCCCATAGAACAGAGCGACGAAATGCGGCAGAGTCTGTTCAAGTTGCTTCAGCTGGTGCTGCACAGAAGTTCAGATGAAGCCGTTTTGAGCCACCTAGACTTGGCCGTAGGCCTGCTGCGGGCCGGCGCAATGGATGTGTGCCCTGAGGTGAAGTGTTTGGCACTGGAAGCCGTCGTTGAGTTCTGCAGTCGGCACCAAAACATGCTGCTGCACTTCACTGAGCCGCTGGCGAGGTCACTTCTTTCGTGTCTTGTGCACCAGCACTCGCGAATCCGAATGAGAGCTCTTCGCGCACTCACACTGGTGATTTCTTGTGGCTTGTACAAGTACAACGGCGAAATCATTAATATGTTGGCTGGCTAGCGGGACTCCAACAGCGCTCCGTCCCAGAGTTCGTACGAATTCACAGGGCCCCCAGAATTTTGAATGAAGCGGCTGCGGCAGCCAAAAAACAGGCCGCTGTTGTCTTTCTAGAAACCCAAAGAGAACGGGCAATCGCTGCACTCACACAGCCTCTGAAGCTCTTTGAAATT